ATTTGCCTTTACCCATCTTTTCCTTTTCCTCTCCGCCTCCTTGTATTCCCTCTCCCTCGATAACCTTCTTCGTCACCTCTAGCTCTATCTCCACTTCCACCTCCACTTCGCTTCTTTTCTTTCTCCTCTACAATCTTCTTCGCTTACTCGTTCTTCGCCACCACCACCACCGTCATCGTCACCGCCACCGCCACCGCCACTGTCGTCGTCAACGTCGTCGCTGTCCTCCTCCTTCCCCTCCTTACCCTACTCCTCGAAACTGATTTTTTTTCCCTCAGCTGGCAACCCTCTTGCCTTTCTCTTCCTACTACACGCTCTTCGTTTCGTATCCTGCCTGCATACCAGACCAAAAGAGAAAACGAAACAAAAAAAAGAAAAAAGAAGATAAGATAATCAAAGAAGGAAAAGAATATAAGTATGCAGATATTATATTTTCTTTTAATGAGATTTGCAGCTAATGCTTCATTGTAGTAATTGTTATTTCAATTTTCAGTAAGAGTTGTGTCTGTCTTCATGTGAACGTTAAATATAGTGAATTACAAAACACATGAAAAGATAAATTTAAAATCTTCCTATATATGCAATCACATCCTCTATATACAGAATCATGCCAGAAAACTCAAAGTAATTTAAATGTCTGGCATATATAAGTATCTGAAAAATACCGTTTTAACAATTTAAACAATTATTTGCACAGTTTTGATTTTGCATCTGACTTGTTTCTCCTTCCCATTTTCGTTTCCCATTCTCGCACTTTCCTATCTCATCGTTCATTATGTTCCCTTTGCTTGTGTTCCATTGCAGTCTCAAAAAAGCAGTTTTGTCTCTTCTGCTTCTTTTTCTTGCAAATCTTTTCCCTGCTGCTCTTTCTCTTTCTCTATCTCTCCTTGTATTCTCGCTCGCGTTCCGCTTATCTCCGGAGTTTCTCATTGTCTGAAAGAGCCATCTGTCCCCCGGCTTTTTCATCCTCCGCTTTCATCCCTCTGCTGTACACGAACACACAAAGAGACTCTCTTATCCACCCTCTCTTCACCCTTTCTCCAACTCCCTTCTTCTTCGTTGCTTCCGTTCAGCCGACTACTCCTGCGCATCCTCGTTGCTCCTTTCTCTTTCCTTGAAACTTTACCAGATTCCTTTGCTATTGATAATTGTCATGTAACAGACAAACAGTGAGCAAGAAAGAGAGAAGCAGAGAAGGACAATGCTGGAAACAATGTGCCGGCAGTCACGTTCTTCGCAAATGTAAATTCAAAATTTCAGGCTCAGTCGGGGACCCCGACGTGGCGACAACAAATGAAATCATATCGAGAAAAAGAAAAAAGAAAAAAAAAAAAAAAAAGAAAAGATCTTTTTATTCATAACGCGAATAGTTGCCCAATAGTCGTAGAATCGAATAAATAACAAAAAAATTGTTCACCCTCGTTGTTAGGGAGACGAGATCCCTCTAGGCAAGCCACGTGCGACCTTGGACAAGTCACGTCACCCTCTTACGTTGCACCCTTGCGAAGGGACGCAACCCCGATTACGTGGATGTCGGGGGTGGTTTCTAACCCTCGTTTATCCTTGTTCTATAAGTACAAAATAAAAAGAGAAGATATATTGATACATAGGAGAACGGGTACGAGTGAAACAAAGAACCAGGTTCTGCGCGAAGCCTTTTAAAAAAAAAAAAAAAAAAAAAAAAATGGTTTCTGAATGAGAAACTTTCTGATGGAAAAAGCGGCGCGCAATTCGTTTAACATACAAATATTCGACGAGCATGTATCTGTTCGTAGTGATTCAAAATAACGATGAAAAGACGGAATTCTAGCTATGTTTCGTCTCTTCTTTCTTGCAAATCTGCATGTGTCGATCCTTCTGCTCTCGTTCGATCCCAATGAAATTGGCGTTTCCGGGTCTCTCTTCTCCCTCCATGTCTGTCTCATCGGCTCGTTCTTCCTCCACTCTCCTCTCCTTTCCTTTTCTTCGAAAACGGCGTCGAAGAATAATGGCGGGGATGTGAAGGCGGGTAGGAAGAACGGAGACAACGTAGCCAGCACTTAATACGACTGCTCTTTCAAGTGGTAGGGCGAAGGGGAACAGGTGAGAGGCCGAGAGAGCAGCTCGGCTCTCTCGAAAAGGTGAACGGAGAGAAACGAAGAAACGAAGGGCATTTGGAATGCGGTACTGTTATGCCTTACGGTACAGACAGGACGGAAATTAGGACTGCTTCGACTCGTTGACCACTGCTCGTTATTCTCTTCATTCGTGTATTAATTCTCTTTTTGCATCTTCTTCATTCCTTCTCTCTCTCTCTGCGCGCGCAACCTATTTTCTCTTCTTTACTTTACTTCAGCACGTTCTATTCTCGCAAATGAAGATCACGAAAGCAATGGCAATATCTACTACTCGTAGAATACCAATGAAATTCCGTTAACGAAGATCACTTTCATCACCCGTGTATTCGATATTGCATTTGCCGATTCTCATGGATTACAATCTGTGTGTGTATCTGTAGAATCGTTCGCTAATGTCGCAACACTCTGACGTCGATCGTTTCCGAAATACGAAGATATATATATATATACATATAAAAAAATCTCAAAGATGTTATTGAAATCTTGGAAACAGAAAAGTACAAGGATCGAATGAACCTTCGATCGATAACTGGAAATAACGTCGCCGGT